TCTTGCACCTTTATTTGTGTCATTGGCTGTGAACCCAGTAACCTGCCTTTGTAAAATACACATCTTACAGCTACATTGTATATGTCTAAGTCTTACCTAGACTTCCTGCTCCCATTTGTCACAATAAACATATTCATTTATATACTTATTGGAAAATAGTTGGTTTTTCTGAACATACAATACTCTGGTATTACACCCAGTTCCATTTTTTATGAATGGTTTTGTTTCATTGATGGCTAAGTCATATTGCTGCTCAAGCTCAGCCAAGAATAAAGTTATTCAAGCACTGCGAGTTCTAAAGATCTTATTAGCACTAATTTCACCTTACATGTTCCAGCAAGTGATCTCTGAGAACTTTAGAGATCATTCCTTCATTGTGTTGTCAAAGACTTTCATGGCCGGAATCACTGGGTTGCTGTGAGTTTTCCAGGCTATATGGCCATGTTTCAGAAGCATTCTCTCCTGATGTTTTAGCAATATCCATGGCAGGCATCCTCAGAAGTTGTGAGGGCTGTTGGAAATCAGGCATGGGAGGTTTATATATCTGTGGAATGTCTAGGGAACCTCATTTGCCTAGTTTCCAACAGGCCTCACAAGTTCTGGGGATGCCTGCCATAGATGTGGGTGAAACATCAAGAGAGAATGCTTCTGGAACATGGCCATACAGCTCAAAAAACTTACAGCAACCTATTCCTTCATTGTTCATACATTGAGTTTGAGAAGGGAATTTTTAGGGTGCACATGTCAGTTGCTCTGCATTTGCGATTATCACTGTATTTAGACTTACTCGGGAGTAAACCTCACTGAGTTGTTTTTTTTTTTTCCATATCAGAAGTGACTTGAGAAACTGCAATTCTGCCCAGGGGACATAGAATCATAGAATCATAGAGTTGGAAGAGACCTCATGGGCCATCTAGTCCAACCCCTGCCAAGAAGCAGGAATATTGCATTCAAAGCATCCGGATGTTTTGATGTTTTACCATCCCGTAGGAGGCTTCTCTTATGTCATAGCACGGAAAGTTGGAGCTGACAGAGGGAGCTCACCCCACTCCCCAGATTCAAAGTGCTAACCTGTTGGTCAACAGTCCTGCTGGCACAAGGATTTAACCCATTGCACCACCACAATATCATTAACTGAGTTGTTAATGAGATTTTACTTCAGATAACAGATGCATAAGGGTTTTGACACAAGTCTACTTTCTACTTAAAGCAATGTCTCTAAGACTGTAACATTGTATATGCTTGACTATGAGTAAGTCCTGTGGATGACAATAAATATTATTTCTGATAAGATTGGGCTGACATTAAACTAGACAACAAAAATTATGGATTCATTCAGAAGGATTCATGCAAAAGACCCTTAAGACAAAAGTTGGGAATGCTAAAAAGTTGCTCATACTATAATACAGCAAAAGGCATTGACTTATTTGACTGAATTGTTATATGTGATACTCCAGGACTGTAGTCCTGTGCATAGTTATCCAGAAGCCATGTTGAAGTGAACACACTGAAACTTACTTCCAAGCAAGCATGCATAGGAATGTGCTGTAGAAACCTTTAGAAGTTTGAACAAACTTTAGAAGCAGTTGCCTTATTTTTAAAATAATGGCATCATATATATTCAGAGCTCTTTAAAAACATTCAGATTACTTCATAACTTCCCTTAGCGCATTAAAATGTGTACAGCAAATGACAACGGCAAAATATCAATCAATAATCTGACATGCGCTAATGTGTCTTCTACTGACCAAACTAATTTACAAACATTCAATATGTGGAAGACTTATAATACACTTGAGTGATGGTCCATGAAATTAAGGATATTAATACAGCGTTTGATATATGTTGCTGCCTGGTACATACTGATGCAAGTGATAAACAAGCTGCAAGATAAAATATTTCTATAATTTTATATCCCTCTCCCTTATGTGTGCGTAGATTGAAAGTATATACGAACCATTGTGCTGTTAGGATCACAGCAATACTTTCAAAGGAAATGCAGCCTCGCCTAATTTATTAGCAGCAATGATTTAAAGTTTTGCATTAAAGCAACTCTCTAAAAGGCACTTAATTTAATGCAAGTCTTATTTTGGTTTACGAGCCATACATAAACTTAACGAGTTGAAAATTATGACAAAAAATATAGGTGATATTAACTGCTGTTAATCTCCAATGACGAAGAAGACCATAAACTAGAGATACTTAACAGCACATTATGGCATCAAGCAGATAGAACAGTCGGACAGAGAATATGAATGCAAATGCCTTTCTGTATACAAGGAAAAAGGGAAGCCGGACACTTGTACATATCACACAGAGGGAGTTCGAAGGGAGACAAAAACATGATCGAGGAGTTTAAGTAAAGAGGCTTGTACTGGGTTTTTCTGCAAAACACCAACAATCAGGTTCTCATTCAGCTGAGAATTTGGGAGTGGGTGCTTTTGGACGTCCAGAGGATTCATTTCTCAGATTGTGAGCAACTTTCTCAGGTGAATTTGCAGCTAAAGCAGATTAAGAAACAAGACAATGTGTACAACGCAAAGCGCTCTAGAAACCAGCCTGGATCCTCATTTGTTGAAAAATATGGCGTGGTTATTTTGGTACGCACACCATGTGATTATATTATTTATACCACACTGAAGTGATTCAGTGCAACTGTTCGGCACTACTCTTTTCAAAAGATAGTGGAGTATGGGTAAAACTTCTGGTACATGGCGATACCCTAGACCAGCGTTTCTCAACCTGGGGGTCGGGGCGCCTGGGGGAGTCATGAGTGGGTGTCAGAGGGGTCACCCAAAACCATCAGAAAACACAGTATTTTCTGTTGGTCGTGGGAGTTGTGTGTGGGAAATTTGGCCCAATTCTATCGTTGGTAGGGTTCAGAATGTTCTTCGATTGTAGGTGAACTATACATCCCAGCAACTACAACTCCCAAAAGTCAAGTTCTATTTTCCCCAAATTCCACCAGTGTTCACAATTGGACATACTGAGTATTCGCGCCAAGTTTAGTCCAGACCCATCATTTTTTGTGTCCACAGTGCTCTTTGGATACAGGTGAACTACCACTCCAAAACTCAAGGACAATGCCCACCAAACCCTTCCAGTATTTTCTGTTGGTCATGGGGTTCTGTGTGCCAAGTTTGAGTCAATCCCATCATAGGTGGAGTTTGGAATGCTCTTTGATTGTAGTTTAGCTATAAATCCCAGCAACTACAACTCCCAAATGACAAAATCAATCCCCCCAAACTCAAGTGTTCAAATTTGGGCATATTGGGTATTTGTGCCAAATTTGGTCCAGTGAATGAAAATACATCCTACATATCAGATATTTCCATTACGATTCATAACAGTAGCAAAATTACAGTTATGAAGAACAGTATTTCCCCGAAAATAAGACACAGTCTTTTATTTAATCAAGAAGACACACTATGGCTTATTTTCAGGAGATGTCTTATTTGTATTAACTATGGAACAACAATCCGCATTTATAGGATGATCTCTCTGGGCTCAGTAGCAGACTGCTTGCTGAAGTTTTTCCCCTATCCCCTGGTGTTTGTGTGGGGTGAGAGAGACCCACAGACTGTTGCTGGTCAGTGTTGGGAGCAGCAGCTTTACTGGTGTTTGTGGGGGGTGAGAGAGACCCACAAACTGTTGCTGGTCAGTGCTGGGAGCAGCAGCTTTACTGGTGTTTGTGGGGGGTGAGAGAGACCCACAAACTGTTCTGGTCAGTGCTGGGAGCAGCAACTATACTGGTGTTTGTGGTGAGTGAGAGTTACCCACAGACTGTTGCTGGTAAGTGCTGGGGAGTTGCAACTTTATTGATGTTTGTGTGGGGTGAGAGTTACCCACAGACTGTTGCTGGTCAGTGCTGGGGAGCAGCAACTTTACTGGTGTTTGTGGGGAGTGAGAGAGACCCACAGACTGTTACTGGTCAGTGCTGGGGGGCAGCAACTTTACTGGTGTTTGTGGTGGGTGAGAGAGACCAATAGACTGTTGCTGGTCAGTGCTGGGGAAGAGAGACCCACAGTGCTGAGCAAAACAGTAGCCACACCTTTACTTCTCCTCCCTGAGGACACACAATACCTAAAGCACAGCGTCCTGCTCCTCACTGCACTGAGGAGACTTTTACTTTCATTTTCTATGTCTCCATGCCTCAACTTGCAACATCACACAACGCCCGGGATCTGATAGGATGAGCCGACCTTGTACGCTGCATAGCCATGCATACCACCATGTCTTATTTTTGGGGTATGACTTATATTGCACAGATGCTTAGAAATCCTCCTATGGCTTATTTTGTGGGTAAGTCTTATTTTCAGGAAAACAGTAGCAGCACTCCATGCAGTCATGTTGGCCACACGACCTAGGAGGTGTCTATGGACAACTCCGGTTCTTTAGCTTAGAAATGGAGATGAGTACCAACCCCCAGAGTCGGACACAACTGGACTTAATGTGAGGGGAAAACCTTTACCTAGGGTAACAACAAAAATAATTTTAAGGTTGGGGGGTCACCACAACATGAGGAAGGTTGAGAACCACTGCCCTAGACAGTAGACACACCATGTCCAAACTTTGGAACTGAAATAAACTAAATCAAACCCATGATAGTGACTCAAAGAGAGCAACATTCATCCTGCCTTACTTCTTCATCACACTAGAGAATGAATCCACTTTAAATCCAGTTTCTCCTCCTGCAGAATTCTGGGGTTTGTAGTTTAGGCTGTGAAAGTCTCCTCCCTAAACTACAAATCCCAGAATTCTGCAGGAGGAAGCAACCGGATTTAAAGTGGATTCATTCTCTAGTGTGATGAGGTTCTTGGTCAACTCCATGCACCAATACAGTCAACTCCATGCACCAATACAAACTCAATCCTCCTCCTTTGAGTAAGTTCAGCATCCACACAGAAAGAGGCTGTATTCACAAGTTCTCAAGGCACAGGTTCCTTGGGCAGGTCCAGAGGCACAACCAACAAACCCCGGGAGCTCTTTGGCTGGCTTACCTGCTGCTCTCCCAGCATGGTGGACTTCACCAGGTGCTTCTCCCTGTAGAGAGACCAGAGTCCGACGTTGGGCAGGAAAACCAGAGTCACCACGAACAGCAACGTCATCTGCAGAAAGCGCTTCTGTTTCCTCTTCATGGCCAATGGCAGGGGTTGCCTCCCGGGAAGAGCCAAGGGGGGATGTGTCTCCTCTCTTTCCCGATCTCTTCCTTCTCTTCCGGGCTGGAAGGGCTGCTTGCCTCCCTCTCGCCGCCCCGCTCGCTTCAGGTAGTGAAGAGAAACTTCCACGGCGCCGCCAGCTTGGTCACCCTTTGACGGGGGGAGTTTGTAACCTGTGAGGGTCCGAAGCGAGGCACACGGGGACTACTAAGGAAGGGCAGAGACGGGGCGGCACGCACTTGCCCGCCGACGCAGACTTGGAGCCTGGGAGCCTCCTGGTCGATAGCCCACCCCCATTGACAAGAGCAGAGAGAAAGAGAGAGAGAGGCAGCGGGATCGATATGATTGGCTGCCGAAGACTAGAAGTTAAGATCGAGGGGGAGAGAGAGAAAGAGAGAGAGCGTGTGTCAATGGGAAGGGGAGGGGCCTGCTTCTGCTGCTCTCGCCAAACGGAGCGACAGAGCCTTATTCCCTCCGCAGCTGGATTGGGGAAGGGAGCCGTTTGGGAAGGAAGAGCTCGCTGCACGCAACGCTTGTGTCTCCTCCTTTCTGGTTCCCGGCTCAAAAAGAAATGCCTCCCGAGGGGAGCTCGGGAGCAAACCTGCCCCACTGCTTTTCCCTTCTCGCCTTCTCTCTCTCTCTCTCTCTCTCTCTTCCTCTATCTCTCCCTCTCTCTCTCTTCCTCTCTCTCTTTCCCTTTTCTCTTTATCTCTCCCTCTCTCTCTCCCTGTCTTTCTTTCTCTCCCTCTCCCTCTTCTCTCCTTCCTCCTTCCCTCCTCTCTTTCCCCTTTTTTATCCCCTCCCTCCCTCTCTCCCTGTCTTTCTTTCTCTCCCCTCTCTTTTCTCTCTCTCTTTCTCCTTCCCTCCCTCTTTCCCCTTTCTCTTCCTCCCTCTCCTCTTCTCTCTCCCTTCTCTTTTCTCTCTCCTCTTCCCCTCTTCTCTCTCCTTTTCTCTTTATCTCTCCCTCCCTCTCCCTCTCTCCTTTTTCTTCTCTCTTTCCTCTTCCTCTTCTCTCTCTTTCTTCTCCCTCCTCTCTCCCTTCTCTCTTTCTCTCCTCTCTCTCTTTATCTCCCCCCTCTCTCTATTTCTTTTCCCTCTTCCTCTTCTCTTCCTCTCCTTCCCTCCCCCTCCCTTCCTCTTTTTCTCTCTCTTCCTCCTTCCTCCCTCTCTCTCCTTCTTTCATTCTTCTCTTCCTCTCTCCTTCTTTCTCTTCTCCCCTCCTTTCCTCTCTCTCTCTTCTCTCTTCCTTTCTTCTCTCTCCTCCCCTCCCTCTCCCTTCCTCCTCTTTCTCTCTCCCCTCCTTCCCCTCTCTCTCTCCCCTCTTTCTCTCCCTCCCTCCCTCTCTCTCCTTCCCTTTCTCTCTCTATCCCTCTCCCCCCTCTCTCCCCCTTTCTCTCCCTCTCTCTCTTTCTCTCTCCCCTTCCCTCTCCCTCCCTCCCTCCCTCCTCTCCCTCAAATGGCATTTATTTCCCTCTGCCGGCATCCCTCTTTCTCGATGAGCTCCCAGAGGCTACAGTTGGCCCGTCTCCCTCCCCACTGAGATCCCAAACCCACGCCACTAGTTCTTCGGAAGGTGCTGAAAAGGAAAACCCGTCGCCACAATCGGAATGGGGTCTGGGAAGGAGGGTCTGGGAAGCGTGGCGTGTCCCCCACCGCTACCACCCCCGCCCGCCTGGAGAGCAATGGGAAGGAGGTGAAGGCGAGGCGAGGTCCCCCCGGCTTCTCACCTGACGCCCCAGTCCAGCACGCCGCGCCCCAGAGCAGGACAGCAAGGCAGGCGGCAGCGGGCGGCTCCTGGGCTGCCTACCTCCCTCGCCTCCGGTGCCTTCATGATCAGGCGGATGGCAAGCGGGCAACGCAGCGGCGGCAGCCTCGAGCTGGCTCCTTCCAAGGCGCTGGGCAAGGCAGGCGGGCGGGCGGGGAGGAGCGAGGGAGGGATGGATGGATGGATGGAGGAGGAGGAGGACCGGGGAAGAAGCCTCTGCGCCCGCCGCCGAGCCTCTTCCTGGATCCGAGGCAGCAACCGCCCCGGCGCCCCTCCCGCCCGGCTCTCGGCGGCCTGCAGGCAAGGCAGGGAGCTGCAAGGCCGCCTGCCCGCGCCAAAAGCCGGGCTCTTGGGCCTTGCGTCCCGATTGCGAAGAAGACTGACCATTTTTTTTTCCAGGAGCAACTTGAGAAACTGCAAGTTGCTTCTGGTGTGAGAGAATTGGCCGTCTGCAAGGACTTTGCCTAGGGGACGCCTGGACGTTTTGCTGTTTTACAATAATAATAATAATAATAATAATCTATATATAAAAAAATTCTCTGTGCGTAATGAGTACCTTAAAAACAAAAGAACCAATGAACGAAATCACACCAAATTTGACAACAAAACGTCTCACAACACAAGGAGTGACCATCACTCAAAAAAATATGATTTTGTAATTTGGGAGTTGTCGTTGCTGGGATTTATAATTCACCTATAATCAAAGAGCATTCTGAACTTCACCAACGATGGAATTGAACCAAACTTGGCACACAGGACTCCCATGACCAACAGAAAACACTAGAAGGGTTTGGTGGGCATTGATCTTGAGTTTTGGAGTTGTAGTTCACCTACATCTAGAGAGCACTGTGGACTCAAACAATGATGGATCTGGTCCAAACTTGGCACAAATACTCAATATGCCCACATATAAACATAGATGGAGTTTGGGGGAAATAGACCTTGGCATTTGGGAGTTATAGTTACTGGGATTTATAGTTCACCTACAATCAAGGAGCATTCTGAACCCCACCAGCGATGGAATTGGGCCAAACATCCCATACAGAACCCTCATGACCAACAGAAAATACTGTGTTTTCTGGTGGCCTTTGGTGAACCTTCAGATACCCCCTGGTGACACCCCCACCCCCCACCCCCGGGTCTTGACTTCCCAGGTTGAGAAATGCTGCCTTAAGGCCATCCAGTCCAACTCCCTTCACCAGGGCAAGAAAACATAATCAAAGCCCTCCTGACAAAGGGCCATCCAGCCATTCACACACACACACACACACACACATGTATATGGCAGATGCAGTAAGATTTGAAAGGGATCCCTAAAGAAGGACAATGATATGTTGCATGTTCTAGAATAGACAAACCAGACAATATCCACATCAGCACTGACAAAGAAACAGCAAGAAATACTGTTTACCCACAAGCATAAAGACATCATATATATTGGAAACCAACACTTTATCATTACTTTATTTTCCAGATCACCAGACTGGGCCACAGCAACGCTAATAATAATAATAGTAATAATAGCATAACACCATTGCTCAGGTGATTCATTGAAACTTGTGCCACAAATACCATCTGCCTGTGACAAAAAACTGGTGGGATCACAAGCCGGAAAATGTTATAGAGAATGAACACACCAAACTCCTCTGGGACTTCTGAATTCAGACAGACGATCCTGTTAAAAAACAAAGTATGGATCATCGATGTTGCAATCCCAGGCGACAGCAGGATTGAAGAGAAAGTAAGGTTGCTTACCTGTAACCATGTTTCTTCTAGTGGTTAACTGTGAAATTCACACCTGTGGT